GGTGCTCAGTAGTTTTTGAGTTACCCAAAACAAGTATTGGAAGGGGGGGGGGAGACTTTCTTTTTTGGTTGAGTGTATTTCAGACTTTTGTCTGAAATCAGATTTGTTCAATCTGAGAGAAAGACATCAGTATGGAAAGCAGTACATCTTCGGACCTCTCATCCAATTTTTAAACTTTTTAATTTGAAAATCTCGTCCATGATTCAACTCGAGTCTAAACTTTGAAAATGACTGGCTGCCCTTGCACTTTGAAAGTTAATCACTGTCATGATTACTGAAATAAAAAAAACAAGAACAAGACGTTGATGATTAAAGTGTGAACAAAAAATAGCAGGAAAAGGTGTTGGGAACAGGGAGTGAAATGTAAAAAAAAGAAGAAAAGCAAATTGCGAAAAACAGGTGGCAGGGAGCAATAGGACCTGAAAAAAGGGGGTATTTAAAAGTACAGAAGTGCATTAACCAAAAGCACTACTTCTGCGAGTCCTTTGTCTGAACGAGCGCTTGACGTGTACATTCAAGGAAATTCATGTCCCGGGGCTCTGCTTAGTCGGGAAATGATTTCATCGGGTAGCCCTGGACCCTGCAAGCTAGTCTAACCCTGCCCTCCGTTTCCTTTGTGATTGGAACCAAACCAAAGTGGAATAGTCTGAATGAGCAGGTCAGATTCTGACTTCATCTCCCTCCCCCCTTCCAAGTTGATAGAGCTTTTCCTGCCGACACATGAAAATTAGAAACTTGTGAGGTTGTTCAGGGGGTACGAGTCACGTTTTTTTTTTGTCGGCCTCAGAACAACCAGGTTTTAGAAATGGGGGCTGTGAATTCCGGGCGTGGAGATGTTAAGCTCCTCTAAAAAGTGATGTCATCACGCCCTGTGTCATGAGTACCTAGTTGTGAATTATATACCGTTTTGGAAAGTTGCAGCTGAATTGGCCTTCCCGGTTTCGTCCTGATTTGAAGATTGCATTATTTGATGCCACATCACAGACGTACATGTACATGTACATGTACACGTACAAGTATGCTGTTAGTTTGGGTGCCTTGACACAGTTGATTAAGTCATTACAAGTGACACAAACATCCGTTTGCCCACAGTACATGTGCGTCAGCGTTTGTGAAGGCAACTCTATGCCATCTGCTTTTGTAGCAGATGTGAGTTTATCCGTGCGCCGTGCACCAAGTCTGCTTCACATCTCAAGGAATGAAAACCATCAGACGTTATTAAAGACTACACAAGGGCTTGACATCTCGCTGTCTGGACCAATCAGATGTTACCAGCGAGGGACCGGGACGGAATTGAAGCTTACAGCCGGACCCCTGGAAGGGAAAGTGTAAATTTGGTGTAATGTTGCAACCCATGTGTGAGCTGGCATCCCACTCCTATCGTACTGTGCCTTGGTTCTACGTGTACATGTACATATCTTCAGAGAGTTCTCCATCAATGAAGAGGGATAAATATGTGAAATACCAGAACTGCCATGAGCGATTGCCCGTGCTCTTCCAGTAATCGTCCGTGACATTGAGAGAAGTTTGTGCTGCGAAAGCTTAACGTGTGTATGATTGTGGATGATTGTGAAATCCTTCCATGATACCAGCTTGGTGGGTTTCACAAATTGAACAGTTTTCCTGTAATGTTAGATGTGTACATTATGCGTTTGTGTCAGATGTGCTTTTGAAAGTTGGATGCTGGTTTCAACTGCTCTGAATGCTGCATCTGCCGTATTCCTTCTTGTTCTTTTCAAGTGAAATACTGAGGAATATTCCGTGCACAAACTTACATGTATGGGGTCCATCATTTGCTTCAAACCCTAACTCATCACCGTGGTACGTTTCATTGTTGTATGAGCATTGGATGCTCTTCAACATTCCATAACCGACTGGCAGCTGTTAAATGATGCACAGGCACTGATCATGCTGTCTGGCGTGGATCATGTTGTCTGCCATGGAAGTATCCAATTTGTGAAACAAAAATAACCAGTCAAGCAAAATGTGCCTTGAGTTTAATTGATGAGTCTGTTAACTACCAGTGTCACCCAGTAACCCGAGGTTCTCCTTTCAATTTTTTCCAACTACATTGTATCATCACCTTGATTGGTTGAATAGTTTTTTTGCAGACTGTAATAGAGTCAGTAACCCTCAACCTAAGGAACACAGTTTTCCAAACAAAAATCTGCATCAGAACTGTTCCAAGTTGACACAATTTAGCATTCTTTGTATTCGCAGCTCTCTGAGCGAAACCCATAAATAAGTTGTACCCAGCTGCCAAGACTTGAACCAGAACCCACTGATTGAAGGGCAAGCCTTATACCCTTTCAGCCGTTTTTCATTTTTCTAGTTGTAAAATACCTTGAATTTGAACCAACACTACTGGTGGTAGCCATGTCCATGAGCATTCAACTCGGATGACCTTCGAGTTCCCAGTTTCAAAGCGCACACATTTGTATTACGTCCCACTGTCAGGGATTTGAACCCGTTACTCTCTGTGTGCGAGACAAGTCTCCAAACCACTCCACCACTCTCAGGACTGGTTTATTGAGGATGTCGGTCATAGTCGATGCGCGCAAGTCCAACTTTGGCCCAGGGAGGCGGTCATCGTCTTCGTCTAACCGCGAGCTGATGGCCAGCATGAGGCAGAACGACCTCTGGACGACCCAATCTGAGATGATTTACGTAAGTGTTTGGGCCAAAAATCGGAACATGTACATGTTCATGCCTTGGAGGGTATGGATCAGCATGACAGGTATTAGTGAGCCTTTGTTGATGTACATACATGTACAAGATACAGGTAAGGTACATGTAATTATGTATGTTTTACTGCTCAGCACTCCGGACCCAAGAACCATTGAGTTTCAAGAAATAAATCTGGGAACTATACCGGTATTAAAAAGTAATGTACATGTATGTACATGTACACGTGTAGAATATGGTCTGAGTTACATGTACATGTAGCATAATGTCGCTTGCCACAATATTTTGTTATTCTCTATCTTGAAGCAAGTTGGCCAGTCATGTACCGTACATTGTACATGTTGGGTGTTTCTCATTCATGAACATTACATGTTCTCAAGATCTACAGTTAATTGCATTTGCTAGATCATCGTTGAGTCACTACACCCCTCCCCCTCCCCCTTGAAAGTTCCTTCTGACCAGCTAGTGATGCCTGTGTCATGCCAGAGGTTTCCTCTGGGGATATTGACTCACGGTGTCATATACTGACTGGGGATGTTCCTGAACTTTGACCGAGTTTGTGAACCTTAACCTTAGTACTGAGTCGTTCTTAAAGGACTGATGAGTTGCACGTGCTGTGATTTGGTAAATTATCCGGTTGGTTAGTAAAAAGTCATACGAGCACGCACCAATGATTATTATATAACCGACATATATACTGATCCTTGTCATTTGATTGGTGGAACTCACATCACGTGTCGTTCGTTATTACTGCCATTCACGCCGGGGCTCAAAAAGTACTATCCACCCGTGGGAAATACTATTGAGTCTGGATCATTCTTGACACGGTATTTGTGTGCAAATGCATGCTCGTGTGCGCGTTCAGCGTTGCGCGTATTGTTCCAAAGAGCCAGTGCTACAGCGTTGGGTTCAAACATTTTCGTGAAGGAGTGGTTAGGAAGAGAGAAATACATTTTTCACCAATTGTGTATTGAAATAAAAATTCCAATATATCAAATGACAAGGATCTACCGGTACATGTATATAATGTCAGTTTCCATATATAAAACAAATATTGAGTGGCTTTAAATTGTGAAATGGGAGGAATATTATTGCTCGGTAAAATCTGGACTTTTCCAGTTCACTTGGCGTTGCCTCCTGAAATGGAAAATTTCAGATTTCACCTTGCGATAATATTCCTCCCATTCCACGCTGAGCCACTCAATGTATGTATAGGAGCGCCCATTGGATAAACACTCAAGTTGCGTTATGCTTCTGGTTGCAATGGTTCCAATGCTACTTAATGGCCAATGGGTGTGGTTTATACTGAACTGACATCACACTTACAAACTGGATAGACATGTAAGTCGGAGAACATAACTTGACCACAGCCAAACTTAGAGCCAACCAAATATAAACATGTACAAATGTACCATGCATTAATTGTACCAACACTGCAGACCAAGCCAAGTCAAACAACCAAACCGAGAGGTGCCTTCCACTCACACAAATGTGTTTGTCCTCGCAAATTTTGTCAAAATGATTGCACCCTGTATGCCATCCCCAAAATGGGATAGCAAGCAATCGTCTCAGCAGAACTGTTCGAAATTGCTGTTTTATATTTTGAATTACACTCTTCTATGATAAAATCCCCAATCAGCACTGACCTCTACATACGTTATTCTGATTCAGCCATTTACAATGTAGTGTGTCATGTCAGTCCTTCTGATTTGAAAATCACAGGCGGGTGGAAAAAGGCACACCTGGATTTTTCTAGGCGTGTGTTTTTTCTACATGTAGGTATGTGATTTTCTAGGTGTGTGATCTGTGGTCCAGGGAAATTCAGGCGTGCAATTATTCACAATTCTCAGGAAGCTTTTAGTGTACGTGTACGATACCATACATGTATGTGACGTTGCGGTTTCATCATCAAATTATTGAAAATAAAAAGTGTGCCCGTCGGCACACTTTTAAAAACTAACCTCTTTAGGCAGAATAATTTCAGAGGGTACATTGTATTTGGTACCGGTCCTGTTTTTAAACATTGAGTAGGGTTTTTCTCGTTAAGTTTGTTTCCGGGTAATTACCGTACCAATGTTCCCACGTGCCTTTAAAAAGTGTGGCCCTGGTTGATCCCGCACAGTGGCAGATGTTTAAGGATTCGGAAAGACTCAAAGCTATGAAACTGCCCAGGGATCCAGTGAGGGTTAACGATGTTTGTCAGATTGGCAATTATTGGGTGAACTCATCAAGAACGTTCCCTGATGACAGCTTGATAATTTGATAAGCTTGATAAAAATTGATAATTTCTCATCCTCGTTTGCGTCTCTCCGCAGTATATCGGCACGCTTGATGTTCCACGCCCGAGCAGCAGAATGGAGATTGTCACCGCCATGCGGAGAATCCGGGTAAGTTTCCTCTACTTACATGTATTGGAGTTCTGCTCGTAATTGAGGATTAGGCTGTACATTCTCTGATGGCATGGCACCCCAGCACAAAATTACCGCATGTGTCTGCTGGGAGTGCAGCCCTACATGTACTGGTATTTGGGGTCTAGTCATTATGTAGTACTGGTCCAAGACTAGTGGATTTGGACTGTTTTCCCCTTGCAAAATACAGCCTTTCACATGTGAGGTTGCTATCGACGAGACGAAACAAACCCAGGAAATATTGGCGGCACTACCCATGAAATTCCGATCATACATGTGTGGTATACATGTACCGCACTCGCACTGTATTCATTTGCACGTGCCTGAGGTACATGTGCATGTACATGTACATGTTTGCTTTGAATTTCCCGGGTAGCGCTGCCAATATTTCCAAGACTGGATTTGATTCATCTTGTTGATAGAGACCTCCGCTGCAACTCCACGGCAACTTACATGTAACTGCTTTTGTCGCAGGACTGACTCCAAAATAAGGGAATAAAAATCCCGTCTTAGACCATAACTGCATGAATACGTCATTATGGAGAGCCATATAAAAGCAGAAGGTTCAAGAGAGTAAAAAAATCTGCTTTCTTCACCAATTACGTATTGTACCGCTACCAATAGGGCCTACATACTGTACATGTATCGGTACTTTCTATATTATTCAATATCTGGGTTGGCAAGGAATTGTGACTTTAATTGCATTTATCCAGTCAATGCAAGCCAATAGATACTGAATTATGTGGTTATGTGGTTCCGTGGTTGACAGATCCGTAAAATTGGGCCCTGGGTGTGGTTGATACAGTTGTGCTTGCCTGGTTGGTTTTCAATGGCATTACACTTGGTGTTATGTATACATGTGTCAATTGGATTGCCCTATGTCATGTGTCAATTACAAAGGGGTTCCAATTTTTTTTATGTGGTTGAGGCTTGTGGAAAAGTGTTTATAAATCCCCTGTGGGATATAATAGACATTTCACCACATGGTATTCCCCTGATTGCAGCCAGTTTGAAGAGTAGGCCTACAGAGTTGTACGTTTTGCCACTTTTGATAAAAGCACATTCACTGTGACAAGTATAGTACCCAGTCATGAGTCACTAATGTCAGTTGCTTATCGGTATCTAACATGCCATCCAGCAGGATGTTAGAAAAATGTGTACCGTACCAGTATGTGCTGGGTTGTCATCAGGGGTTGCCATGTGAAATCTAGGGAGTTGGATTTTTAGGGTACATGTGTATCTTACAAATCATCCGGTGCCTGGAAGAAGGTTGGAAGGGCGAAAAATGGGTCAAAAGGTCAAATTCAGATTTGTTCATACAATCGATAGAGCTTGGAAATATCTTTCATTTGATGTACTTATTGTCTCAAGGGGTTATGTCATTCTGACGTAATTAAAGGGAAAATACAACATTTGCAAACATCAAAAAATAAAACTACCAAATCATTTTGAAATACCTTGCTGGACTGTTAGTGAATGGCAGTGTAAAGCATCCTGTAAAATCATGGCACTTGGTATACTGTCATTTTCAAGAAAAGTGGTATTTTTGTATCAATTTCCAACGCTGATCAGCCGATCAGCGTTGGAAAAAACTGGCTTTTTTTTCAACTACTGGCCCCAATTGACCATCGCACTTGTTTGCAATCGATTACACACCTATGAACGGGTACAAGCCAGCTAGACTGGTTCACTGACCTTACAATTCCCCAATATATGTAAAGTGCTCAGTTTCTTCTTAAATGGAGTCAGGGAACCAGATTACAGGAAAACGATTGTTTTTCTTGGTTTTTATAGCATTTTCGAACCCAAAACCTCAAAAAAGTCAGTGTAACTATATTTGCTATATATTTCCAACCTCCAAATTCCATCCATTTCTGAAAATTACAGCAAAAGCAAATGATGTATATTCCCTTTAACTGTAAACAAAAGATGGAAGGAGAATTTTCATTATTTGTGCTTGGCAAAAGGATGTTAGCATGTAATTCTAATGTAACAAAAAAGTTCGAAGCGCGCTAACGTCCCACTTGAGTAGGCATGCAAAGCCAATTTTGTTCCTGGCAAAAGGACATGAATTTAACATGCCGCTTAAGTGTGTGTTTAAGGCTTGGGAAGTTCCCGCTAAAAGGGCGTTTTAAAGCATAAAAACTGAAATACCTTCACTAAGTAATATTTTGACAAAATTTCTTGATTTTTAATCAAGAAATGGCAGCACAAAAACTTTCAACTCGATTATCTCCAAAAGTGCTTTTTGCGTGCCTGGCCTGCTAATGTCCTTTTCCATGTCACACGACGATATGTAGGTGCATTGTGCAGAAAAAAAACAACTTCTCATTTGTTCACAATGTGTTAATGATGATTTAAATAGACTCAATTTTCTCACAGTGTCTTGATGTGAATGCCTGTTTATCGATCGCTGTCCACTATTGATTCTCCTTCTGTGGCTGTTGTAATAAGTGCACACTTTACATGTAATTACCGTACTCAGCCAATCTGCAGTTTTAAGACCTGAACAAAAAGACAAAGTACAGTACATGTAATTCAGCATCAGTACAGTATGTTGCATGTACCGGTATGCTTCAATTGGGCTTACAATGTACAGTGAAAAAAAAAAAAACTTTTTTCAATTAAAGGTAATTAAATACATTACTGTTAGTTTGATGGCACTGATATTTAAGTTTGTTATCAAACGTTAAAAATGTTTTGCTTTCTATTGAAGGAAATATACAACATTTGCAAACATCGAAAAATAAAACTACCAAGTTTTTACAATACTTTTTTTATTTTGTATACATTTCCAACGGTGGTCGGCCGACCACCGTTGGAAAAACCTAACTATTTTTCAACTACTGCTCCAAATTTACCATTTTTTTCAGTCCAAATTTTGTTTGCTAACATTGGTTACATGGTCATGAACGGGTGCAGGCCAGTTAAACTGGTTCCCTTACCTTACAATATTCCGGCATTTATAAATTGATCTATTTTATCTTAAGTGGATGCAGGGAACCAGACTACTTGAACACTTTTGTTTTTCTTGGTTTTTCCAGCATTTTCGAACACAAAACTTCAAACATGTAAGTGTAACAGTATTTGATCTATTATACTAACCCCTCAAACAGTTCATTTCTGAAAATTACAGCAAAAACCAATGACGTAAATTCCCTTTAAGTTGCATACATAAGTTGTTAAATTTCTGAAATGCAAAGAATAGTTTTACATACGTGTACAAGTTACATTGTACATGTACCGGTATTTATGCAAATACAAATTTATACAAATTGTTAAGTACAAATGAAACAAATTGTATTACATGTAATGTGTGACATTTTTTTCACACAACTGAGAGCATTTAATTTAAAAATGGTTTGTTCAAAAGCATGCATATTTGCATGCATACATGTACATGTACGGCTTGAAACTATAGACTTCATTTCCATTATTTCTCCTGGAGGGGTAAAACAAAATCAGGTTTTATTTTAAGAGAAAACTATCCTTATTGTTTTCAAATATCTGTAGTACATGTACATCCTGTGAGCATGTGTGAAAGCTTCAGGTACAAAACTTTTAAATATTTCCTAGGAAAATAAAACTGAAACTGAATCACATTATTATGACACACAAATGGATTTATTTAGCGGCGGTGTGAAAACAGAAACCAACACTTGCCACCAAAGCCGCAGAGAATCCTGCTGCACTGAAACCTTCTACTGGTCATAACAATTTGCGGGAAGTAATATTGCCGGTGTATAGGATTGCAAGGAGATTATATCACATCGCGCCCGAGGGGACTGAGGATGGCATTTTTTTACGGGAGAGCGTCGGCTGGCTGATAGAGGCAATTTCCCCCGTTCTTCCGTTTTGGTAGAAGTCTCAAGCCCCCCCCCCCCCTCCCCACCTCCCCTCTGTACGAGCGCTGACGCCGCCGTCGCGTCGGTGATCGTGACTTGTCTGGGTTAATTGAGGCTGGCAGTCAAGTGAGAGTGACTTAATGAAAACAGAATTGGAGGGTTAGCGCACACCTTTCTGCGTTCATGATCGTTGGCAATTATTTATCAACATGAAAAGTGCATGATGTCTTGTAATGTGTACATTATGCACAGTGGCTGTTTAAAGATATCTGTAATGAAATTTACATACATAAAATGTACATGTACTGATTTAACGAGAAATCCTTGTTCAAAGTGGAGATACCGGTACCTGTATTCATGTAGAATTGGTATCATACATTTAAGTACCCTGAGTAATTATTCAATGAAAGTATATAGTCTTAGAAACTGTGTCCTGATGGGCACTCACATTGTAATACGTGTGCTTTACCTACAGAAGCTGAGACCCAAAAAATTGGGCATGCATTTTCTCTGTTTAGTATACTCTACTGTAAACCCGCGGTAGCTCCACTTACATGTAGCTTCTAAACTTCAACAAGTTACATACACGTACATGTATGTAATTGTTCTAAATGCAGTTTCAATGCACCCTTCTTAAAATTGATGAGCAATTTTGTTTTCTCAAACCTAAAAAGAAAAACAAAATGCACAAAAGCAAATGTTCCCATGGATGTAATAATAATAATAATAACTGTATAAATTATATAGTGCTTTTTGCCAGAGGATACAAAGCGCTGGGGGAGAATGCAACCAAGCCAGGTAAATGAAGTACAAACATTATGAGACCCATTATGTTGCACCTTATAAGGGTTTACAAGGTGCTGCGGCGCATAACTGCTGCCACTGCCAGGTACCTTTTAAAATGTTGGATCAGTTCTGAACCTGCAGACATTTTTGCTTAATAATTCCCCCTCTCATGAATTTATACTTGCGATGTCTTTCATCAGCGGAGAATCTATTAAGTCGGACAGTAATGCTCCCAAGAGCACGCACATCAGTCAGTGCATGGAGGGGAGGATACACATGCCTTGTAAAGACCTCTCTCTGGGGCGTGCATGCGATAGGCTTGCAATTGCAAAGAGACATGTTCAAGCC